CCACTTGGTAGTAGAACAGAACTGATACAAGGACAGAGCCAGCTTGTAGGACACAACAGGCTGGTAGGACAGACCACAAGAAAGACAGAACCAACTGGTGTGAAGATATAAGCGGCTGCTGAAGGCCTCAGTAGCTTTGTGATAGACTTTGTGATTGCTGTCATGTACTGAATATTTTTGTGTTTTATCAGTGGATTTCAGGTTTTGAATGTCTCTTGATTGATAAGTTTTGGACTACCCCTTGAGCAGTGAGTGGATTTGGACTGTCCCTATGATAGAAACAATTGTTTCAACCTAATGTTCCTCATGCCACACCACTTCAATTACTTCATCTGGCCTGTTTTTGTATAAAATATTTGGATAAAATATTAACTAAGACCAATTGTAAAAGAGACCAATAAGTGAGCCATTTTGTGATTAAGCTCTAACATCGCTGATACTGATTGTTGTGAAATACATACCAGACTGGTCTGAATATGAAGTAATTTAGCTGGTGTAGGCTGAAGTTTAACTCTCATAAGTTAAGTTGAAGTATATTCAACTACTGATATGCCCAAAGGTTGGAGTGTACACTTCTGAATTAAAGATGTGTGTTAATGGACAAAATGGCTTGAGTGACTACTTGTACACCGATTTTCTGTATTAATAAACATCAGAAGGGCAGACAGATTAGCACACATGCATACATGTACCACACGTTGTACCATGAACATGTTAATTTCTCCAAGCTAGGATAGCTAATAGGTACCACTTTTGTATCAGTTATTGGGTTAGGCAGTAATGAAAAGGTAACACATAACAAGTTTCCATGACCAACATAATATGAACAAAATGTTTTTATTTGTCTAACAACATGCTAGGGAACAGTATGTTTTACGCAAAAATGTAGTGTACTACATGAAACAAGCTGCAACTGAAGGAATCGACATACATGCACACGGTACTCTGCGATTTGTTTTTCACATCTTCATCACAATGCCGTTTGTGATGTCCTATTGTTACATGTTACACCAGAGGGAAAACGTATTGCAACATTCTGATATCTTCATGATCACTTTTTATGTTAGACAGATAAGTTTGGGGGAAAATGAACAAACTAAGCAAAAAATAACAAACTAAGCAAATACATAATTTCTCCTGAGCTCCTTCTGTGTATCTGTATGTCACAGATACTACTATATTGTACTACAAAATGTGCCAGCATGGCTTCTATAACACTGTCAGCCAAGCTAATGCTTTGTGCAACTTAGTTACATCATGCACATTGGAAATCATGCAGACTGGATCCACTTGTCTAAAAACTTCTCATCTCAGAAAAGCTGTGTTGAATTTGTGAGACATTAGACAGTCAGGATAGCTGGAAAGGTTTCTCTGTGGCTCTGGTTTTCACACACCTTCACTAAATACTTCTCAGCTGCAGTTATATATGTATCTCTACACATACAAGTACATACACCCTACATGTCACCCAGGACCTGTAACAGGTGTGCAGAACATTAAACAATGAAACTGATGAAGCATCATGAATACAACAGTAATTACTGTTACCTGGGCTCAGAGCCAGTTTTTAACTTCTGTGCACATCAATATTTCTCTGATCAGCTCCAGTTTCTATAGTCCCAGCTATGCTTAACAAAACTAGTCGAAGTATTGAAAACAAAACCTTGTTAACAGAACTGCTACTTTTTGTCTACAGTGACTGACCACACAACTCTGGAATTCTATTGGCAGTGTTGCACTAACTACAAAGGTGAGTAGAGAAGTGTTGGTAGGAATAGGTGACACAGCTGGTCTACACGGGTCATCTAGCTAGCTAAAAAAAATTCCACATGTTATGAGACTCATGATTGCTATGAGTACTTGGTGGTTATCTTTCCTTGAGACGTTGACCACTAGGCTGGAATTAAATGAAAGTACAAAACATGCCCAATAGAGCAACACAATGCATGAGCCTTGTTTACGGGGGGAAATGTCTCAACACCATCACATCCTAATTCCAAAGCAAAGATGCTTAAGCATACTAGTCTCAACAAGCACCACGTCATGGTCAGCTGGCTTCTCCATTACATAGTTTCAACTGATGTAGCAACTGACCAATTAAAAACTTGATATAAAACCAAAGTTCTTCGAAACATTTTGCTTCAGGTTGACTTGAAACATATGCATCCCCCTATTCTTAGCAATATTTCTTTGTGCATGGTCTTGCCACCCTTCTCCACAAACTTATCCAATGTTGGCATGGTCATCATGATGACGTCAATTTGAAAAGGTTTTGTTTTCTTTTTCACACATGATTGTTGGTAACCTCAGACCCAAATATACAGGAACAGACTCTTAATCTCTTATCATACCATCTAGCCACCATGGGTACTTGATGTTTACAAGAAGACAGGGAGCTGACCAAACAATTTTACGGTTTACTGTTATATGGGATCTGAGCACACAATGTGTTTCTATCTGAACAAAAATTTTGTCTTGCATAAAAAGAGATAATGGCTATAAGCCATTCAGATGGCAGCACTGAATAAGCAGAAAATAATGGCTGGGCCTGACATTCCCAGTACATGCACAGCTGCCTCACTTGGACATGGACTATCACAAGTTTCCTAGGGACTCACATACATGAGAAACATTCCTACATATAGTTTGACCTGTCTTACGTAGAAAGTCTAGGAGTTACTCCTGTGTGTGGCTTACAGCTGCCCTTTACATGTGTATATGAGCACAAGTTATCTCTGTACATTACAACAAGCTGCAATAGTTGAACCTAAAAGAGAGCTGCAATCAAGTCCTCATTGTCATCTGGTTGAGAGTAATTTGAAGTAGCAGGTTCCCCTCGGAATCTCAGAATATTTTTCTCCATGGTCCTTTCCTAAGGCTACCTCACTGGCTTGTATAAAGAGGCTATTCCAGTTGTTTACATGCACCGTATTCACTAATGTTGCTATGACAGTATTTGTACAAATGTAGGGACCTCTAGTTGTTAATATCACTAAAACATACAATCACACTATGTTTAAGAGTATAAATAGTCTTGGCACCTGCAATACTTCAGCAGAGCCTTAAAACCCCTGTGACTTGGAGCCACATGGAAACAACATAAATAACCTCATACTGCATAATGCCCTAACAGAGTGTCCATTTCCACTGTCCTTTTAAGTTTGGTCTTCATACTTTACAGTCAGACAGAACCAACCTGCTCATAAACCATCTAGACAGCTCTGGAGCTTTCTGACTGTAACCTTGTCTAGTCTACAAAGGTCAAAGTCAAATGTAGTCTTGGTCACATTGAAGTGTCCTGTTTCCTCAATGAGGTTTACTATTCTCTGCAGATGTTGGCGATCTTTCAGAGTCACAATGCGCTGATGAAGCTCTAACAACTCGTTCAGATACTCATTGTTTGGCTGGCCGTTAGACATCTTGTGCCTTCGGTCTCCTTTGGGTTTACTCTTTGTCTTCTGTTTGGAAGGAGAAGTGTTAATTTTCACATCTTTCACAGAGGCATTGCTGCCTGCGCTCTCACCATCACTCTGTAGCAGTGGCTGTTGGGAGGCAGCCTCAGGCTGGTTCTGGAATGGTGGAGATGTTCCAATACTGTAGTCCTCATTATCATCATCATCATCGTCGTTGTCCTGGTCGGCAAGCTCAGCCATGAGTGAGTTGAGAGCACCTCCGGCCCCACCAGTGGGAACTGATGAGAAGCTTGATGTGGGGCTGGGGTTTCCTGTCTCACCATCCTCACCCTCCATGCTCTCATCCTCCTCATCCTCACTCAGCTGGCTGGCAAATGTTGGAAGTTCTTTCTTGGCAATAGTCTGAGGTTTCACCACGGCCATGGGCTGGCTTCTGCTGGGTTCAACCTTCACCTTTGGCTTAGAGTCTCCTTCTGCTTTTGCCTTGGAAGGTTTTGCTTTGTCTCTTTTTTGGCCTGCCTCCCCAGCAGAGCTACTTTTCTTGTTTTCTTTTTAATTGTATCACCTGCTGTAGACTCACTTGGCCTTTTGCTGGATACTTTTCCTTCCTTCTTTAATTGAGAACCCCTTTCCCTCTTTCACTAGAGGGAGTGTCAGGAAAGAGGGGAGCCTCCTGGAGCACAGATGCTCTTGGAGCAGGCTTGACATCTTTCCCTGAAGGTTTTTCCTCTTTTAGGAACAGTTTTTGGCTTCCTTTGTAGAGAACTTTGGTTCTTTTGATGCAGTCTTCCCTTCCTTTGGGCCTTTTGCTTCTTTTGAAACTGTTTTCCCATCTTTAGAACTGGAAGTACTAGAAGACTTGGGTATTTTCCCTTTATCCTATTGAACAAAAAAGGTATAAGCTAAAACAGTTCTCAGGGGGCGTAATATACTCTGTCCTGTAAAATGATACATGTTATGCACAGGGAAGGGCATTTGTAAAGTTATCCATTTAAAATGCACAAATATCCATTTAAAATGCACAAACCACACCAAGTGAAGAGCTTATAGCATCTATGCATCCCACCACCAAACTGCTTTCAGCAGCTTGCCACTTGGCTGTTTGTATATGTGATGAGACAGTTTGCCTCCTTTTGGACTATTGGAAAAGAGTGATTTTTGCCATGTTGCACTAGCCCCAGTACAAATGGACTGCTTTAAGTGAAAATCACCTTTACTCCCACCCCATGTTTACACCACTCTATACCAACTTTCAGATTTTGGGGTTTTATAACATAACATAGGACACAAAAATATTTATTTGGATGTGAAATAAATTAAGTAGAATAATCCTGTTGAATTTCTGTGTGCTGACCTTAGCTGGGTGTTGTCTGTGAAGAGGCTGCGCAGGAGGACCAGTAAGTGCCGGGGATACCATCTTACTGCTATCTTCTGGGAAAACTGCAACCTGCATATAAATCAAGGTACCAGCATTTAATCCAGAAGTTGTCATGTAGGAACTAGTATTGCATTCATCATCTAAAATAAGAAGAGTATAGAACAAAATATATGGAAGAGATCACTGAGATCACCAACTGGAACTTACCCCCCCTCCTTTGATAAGTCTCCTTCGAAACTCTTCAGAGGGGTTGTTGAAGGTGAGTCTCTCTGGACGGATGTTGTTGACAGGCATGTCCGTGTATAGAAACAAGTCATACTGAAACTGGACCTGCACAATGGAGGAAATATTACTGAATGAGCAAGCTGTACTCAAGGTGCAGAATTTGCAAAGAACAAAATTGAATGTATAAATTATAACAGTGGCACGAATACTGTACAAAATGTCCCCTAACTTATAGTACATCTACTATAATCCACAATGTCACAGAGGAATGTCAGATCTACTAATGTGCTTTACTTTTAAGTTTAGTTTATTTACTGCCAAGTGAATCATCTTTCTATAATCATGACTACCTTTCTTGGCTCTTCCTTATTCTTGAAGTACACTTCAATAGGGAGAAGGAATCCAGCATATCCTGACTCTGATACTTCATATGGAGGTTCTTTCACAGCTGGAAGAAGCAAGGGAAATCATGAATAACTTCCTAATTATTTATTTATTTATTTATTAGACTTTCTAATGCAACAGCAAGTAGCATGGAGGAGAGACAAAACAGGTGCATAAGTGCATTTCTGCCAGTTGTCTCTCCACATACAAAATACATAATAAAACATAATAATTACAGTAACAACCATTCAAGAAAAACTTTTGACTGGTTACACAGTACTTCTGTAGCTGTCTTCTGTATCTCTCAAGTCTTGTGGTGACCGTGGATGAGAAAATAGCATTGTAATTTGTATGATGTAATAACAGTCAAATCATTTGTCAATCAATTACCTTGAGTGTCTATGTGGACACGTGGCATGGCCACAATATACAGGACTCTTAATGCCTATATGTCAATGGAAAACATTATCTTGGCCTTATGCACAGGTGGTTACTTTTCACTGGTTTGTACAGCACAATTTTTCTACAAATGAAGATCTATTACAAAGAAAAAAAGGAGTACCTCGCTTTGGCTTGGGGAAGCTCTCGTGCAGGTGAAAGACCACCTTGTCGATGAAGTGTGCTGCATTGTTACCTTCTGGGCCTCGAACAAACACACTCCAGTCGTGGGTGAATCCTTCTGGTGTGGGCTTCTTACGGTAGGTAGCCCTATGTCCCAGCTCCAAGTTAACCTGCACACACTGAGAATGGGGGCACAATGTTACACATCTGTTTGCTTTGGGAAATTTCTGTATTAGACTTAGAGATCCCTGTCACACATTCAGGACATTCCCACTATTTTGCTCCTCACCACCAAAACCATTGCCGAGCAGCCTGGAATTTGGGCTATTCTTGCTTCAGTTTGTTCCTCTGATCGCTTCTAAGAAGAGTATGCTCCTCTGATCGTACGACTCCAGTTTGATTTGTCAAAGACATTTAAAGACTAGTAGGCAGCCTCCCTGACCAACAACCAACCACAGATGACTTTACTCACAAGTCACAACTAACTCCCAACCATATGCAAGGTCTGGTTGGCTATGTGTGACAGGGGCTTTCAACAACTGTAACACATCTTTTACTTGCACCTGTATGCATATGATACCGGTACAAATGTGGTAAATCAACATTTAAATCTGCGTTGAGCAGACAAGTTTGTTGTTTGTACAACCTGATCCAGACAGAACCTGAACAATTTACTCCCTGGCCAAGGAAAAATGCCTTTCCATAATGCATGACCATAAAATATCATTAGCATGTACTATGAAGTAGCTGCTGACATTCCTCCTATACATTCTCATGGCAACCTACTATATCCTGGACAGAACTCTAGTATAGGGTGTGCAGTCAACAGTACCATACAGGGTTGGACAAGTTTTCAAAAATCCGCTTGTCCTATCGGGCAAGCACATGGTTATTTCTACTTGCCCGACCTAACTTTTCACTTGCCCAATGCAAAATATAAATGACATATTTCTATGCATTTTCACCACAATTAGATTTTTTTATTTAAAAAAAGCACTTTGCAAAGGATTCTCAGACGAAAAGTTATACTTTTGACTGACATCAATAAGATATTATGGGAATACATTATGAGAAAATGATGAGAGATTTTGCTCCAAACACTGGGGCATAATTCCACATCCCAAAAATTTACTTGCCTAATTGGGCAAGTACAGGGGGATATTCACTTGCCCGAACAGTACTTTTACTTGCCCTGGGCAAGTGGGCAATGGGACTTGTCCAACCCTGCCATAACCTTGTTACAAGGTACCCTAGATAACCATGGAAATTTGAGTCATTTTGGCATCACTGTTATGGAGAACAGTCAGTGTTATCTGAAAAAATGTATTTAGCAACTGATATCCATGTGTGTCACTTACTTCTTGTTGTGTCTTATATATTATGAACCCAATTAAATCATCAAATAATAGTCCTAGTAGATACAAATTCATGTGTACATACTAGTATGCTAGCTAACAATATCCCTTCCAAATGAGACTTCAGGCTCTTATAGAGCTTAGTAAAAGGTTTAAACTTTAAGAATACAACTGAGTAAGGATTAAATTTGAGATGACTCTAAATGTGAGTTTAGATTCTAAACTCAGACCAACATCTTAAACTTGACCAAGTCTTTTGAAAGATATCTGGCATTTCTTTTCAAAGATCAATTCACATCTTTTCAATTTCAGAGATTATAGTGAATTTTCCATGCCTTGACAGTTGACACAGTAGGGGCTTTTCTATCGCTCACTTTTCTCATTATGCCTCTCTTGGACAGTGTCCTATTCAAATAGGCAAAGGGATTAGAGGAGCTGCAGGACCATCATGTACCACCAGATATTACCATTTTGATTTTGTCTGCAACTGAGCCTTTTACTTTACAAGCCTAAGTTTTAACCTCCTTTTTTTTACCTCCTAGGATAGTGCAGGTGATTTGGCCATGGTCACCACTGAAGTAAGCTCACCATACCTCATTAAAGGTAAAGGATGATGACAATGACATTATGAATGGTTGTTTTTCTCAGCTGTAGTACATGAAAACATATGTTTATTGTAATTGTATTCTTATTGTACTCTAGTACTTATCCTTTTGTTTGGTTTCTAGACTACAGACAAAAGGAACAAGAATGGTGTGAAGTGATATTATAGCTCTTGATGTTCATGGCAAAGGTAGCTGGTACACTGTACAGAGAAAATTAGCTGAATTTTCATAGTTATGGTGTCATTTCGGTATGTTAACAATTATCATACTAGTTTTGAGCTACATTAGTTTTACCAAGGACCTTGCTTTTACTGGATGTTCAAAATACTACTTAGCAGCCTTCTCAAAACAAGCCGGCTACCGGCGAAAATCGCCGCCTACTCAAATTTTTGCGCCGGCTACTTTCGTCAAAATTTTCAAATTTTTGCGCCGGTTACTTTCGTCTAAATTTTCAGAAAAACAAGTAAGCTCCGTTACATTTTCTCACAAACTTCACCGGCTCATTTCTTCTGACGAACTTCAGACAAATTTCTGCTAGCTTTCTGGATCTGAAAACTGCTTCTTTCTTAGCCTCCTGTGCAGATTTCTAGTGCACGAGTCAGCGTTTGCTTCTACGAGCGGCCCGCGGCCGGCCAGAGCGGCGCGGCCGAAACTTTACGGGGGGAGGGTCTTGTTCGGGGCTCGAGTTGTATCCGCGGAGCTGTATCGCTCGAGCTAGGCGGAACTTGCTTCGTAAACTCGTTGCTTCGTAAACTCGAAAATTTATCAAGCCGCTACCTTCCCAACTTCTCCCGGCACTAGTAACATTCCTGCTACAAATAACTAGTACAAATCACGTCAAAAAATATCAAGACATGTATAGAAGCGTGTTCATATCTTTCATACACAGAGACAAATTTTCAAAAACAAATCGCCATCAGCGAGATTTCACAGCTGTTTAATTCATCAAAAGTTCTTGTCGATCGTAAAATGATCACTCATCTGTTGTCTCCACTAGTGTGTCATTTGTAGCTTAATCACGGCTAGCCAAAAATCAGCGTCAAAACCCCGGAATAAAAACACGCACACTCCACATCGCTGTACAAAAACAGGAGCTTTCAGGCGCCATCTTGTCATGAATAAGTAAGTAGCAGCGTGCGATCGACGCTCTGATTGGTTCACCTCACATGACCTGCGTTCTGATTGGATAAGCGATGTGGCCAGCAGCCGGCAGCGCGGGAAGATTTTTCTTCGCCGGCAGGCTCTCGCCGGTGAAGAAGAGACACATTTACGCTGCTTTCTACGTTTTTTCTACGACTACTAAGCAACATCCTATTAAAGAAATACATAATTAAAGGAATTTTTGGGAAGATGTATATTTCTCTACGCCGATTTTTGGCCATTTTCTCGTAATTTTCTTGTTCAAGGAACCCGGAAGTCAGTGTACCGGGACGCGGGGTGAATTTCCATAGGGCATTTATGGATCGCACCCCGCTAGAATTAAACCGTCAAAACAGAAACAAACTTCCAAAAAGCGAAACTGTGAAATTTTTCACATCCCAATGATTATGTTTTCGATCAAATTGACATTTAAATATGCTTTCTTTATTTTTCTGCATTTTGTGGCCGGGCGCAAAGGACCGCGCGCAATACGATCGGAGTGGCAAACAATTTTAATACAGCCTTTTTCCGGAATTATTTGTGCACGAACAGTAAATTTTGGAGCCACAAGATTGCCATAAAAGCTGCTCAGAATGTACCAAAAACGATGTTTAGGGGTCTAATTTTTACGATTTCCTCCGGGGGAGGCCCCCCG